ACTTTAATTTTATAATATTGACATTCAGATGAAACATAATGTACGAATGGAATAAAAATGCTGTAACTGCATCAATAGCATTTGACTACTTCAGTGCTTTGTGTATAAATATAAACAACACATGGACGCAGAAAAGGTCAAGGGGTAAGTATAAATCATAAAAGACCACTGTTCTTGCCAATGAAGTCTTGTTGTTCACCTGCTGCCTCTTGGCGCCATAGAGTTTCTTACATTTAAGCTAAAGCAGCTTCATGTACTGCATTTTGTTAATCAATAGACTGCTTGATTTGGAGGCACAATTGCATGCCTACTCAGGGCATCAGTGTACAGTAGACCACTGAACTGTGAACCCTTTTTGTTGTGGCCAAGTGCGAATGCTTTGAAATCATCATTGAAACAACCAATTGTCATTGAGCCCTGCACAAACTCTCTTCATTTTTCTTGCAACTTTCTCTCCCACATGTGTATACTCTTCTCCTCTTCTCAGTGCCATCATTGCAGTGTCAAAGCACGCCTGCTCGCTCTGCAAAGTTTTTCTGTAATAAACTTGCATGAAGCCACAAGTTAATTTGCAAGAGATCACCGGAATCAGTAAGCTTAGAAGGTCGTAGAAGTGATGGTCGGTAGGCTTCGTTAAAAAGTCTTGGTATCTCTTTGCTTGTACTGTGCACAGAGACATCTTAGTTTTGTATACCTGTACGGAGTAAATGGTGACAGTACGTGAAAGTGTTGTCTTGCCACCAGATCTAGAGCACGGTATGAGTCCTTCCTTTACCGACATGATGTAACACTATGGTGTGAGCTTGTGAAACAGAGTAGCAAAAGTTGTATAGTTTAAGAAGGAGAGCGGACATGCAATTTATAGGAGCTTACCTGGATTCAAGAATATCTCTTTTCTTTCCTGTATGCCTTAACGTGCAACACAAATATTTATCGCCTTGGTGCTTTTGTGCACTGTCATCTTTCTTTTAGTGGACAGAAGAAGATGAGAAGGCCATCAGGGATCCCATAATTCAGAAGTACGAAACTGAAGGAAACCCATACTACGCTAGTGCTAGGTAGGCACCACACATAACCGATGACTCATTTATGTTTTGTGTACAGCACAGCAGCTTTGATGTAACCAGAGTTACAAAGGCATGAATCAAAGAAAAATAACAGAAATGCTGATTCCTAGGTGTAATGGTGAGAAGGTGAGCGTGCACACTAGTAAGCCAGAAAGTATAAAGGAGACTTGAAATGGAAAACCACATTTTTATATTGTCCAATGTTTTATCTATAGTTGTGCATACATTTTGTCAATGCAAATCAAGCATGCTCACTTTTCTCCTGCAAGCACCTTTGTTTATTTTTAATTGTATGCACTGCACACTAAGGATGTTTATTAACACTGAATGATCTAGCGGTATGTGTTTAACATATTCGCACAGTGCAAGACTACGAGTAGTTACGACGTAACTACAGAAGAAGAGACAAGGACAGAAAGATCGCAGCATCTCTTCTTTTGTAGTTACGTTGTAACTACTCGTAGTCTTGCACTGTGCAAATATGTTGATTCCCGATCACCAACTAGCCCAAGCTTCTGTCTTAACATGTGTTTAACATCATGATTGAAGTAATGAGGTGAAGAGACCAGTTGAGCTTGTACAAGTCGCATCATAGCACACTGCAAAATAAATGGGTGCACAGAGAAGGACAGCGCATGCACTTTGTCTTCCTGTTTTCTTTGTGCAGTGTCACAATATGAAATTACAGCCAACCTTGTCAGGTACATTGTGCATGCCTGCATATGTCATCGCTAATAACATTGCTTCAGAGGCAATGACAAGTGGTGTGACAGAAGCTTAATGAGTAAGACGATAAGCGTAGCATCGTCTACATAAAAAAATACTGATTGCATAACATTGCGGTAATAAAACCTTTCTTCTGCTCTGCTCCTGAGGGAGCCATTCACTTTAACACTGCTTTCAGTTTACTGCTCCATAACTATGGCGTCAAACTGGAAGTGTTTCCAATTCGGTTCAACTCTAGAGCGAGAAAACTAAGGCTCCAAGTTGTTTGAACTGGTTTAAGTTTATCAGATAACTGAAGAATTATGGCAAGAAAATGGCTTACATTTAGTTTACTAAAACCTTGGCATTTTTTAGATGTACAAACATTTTTTTACAAGAATGTGCATGCTGTTTTTCAAGCCTCAAGTAGATTAAAAAAAATAAGCACATTGTGGAACCATTTCTAAAAAAGAATTTGATCACTGTCACACCTGCTGCTGACATACCAGTGTGGCTGAAAGCAACTGCCCATTTAAAAAGCACTTCTTCACAGTAGCAGTTTTCTTTCCTTTCCCCAAGGCCAAAATGTCTATTTGACAGCCACCAATATTGTACTATAAATAACATGTATGAATTTACAAATAAGGCTGATTGAGCCACAAGTGCATGCAGTGCATCTATAAAAAGAAATCCAAATCCAGATAATGTAGCTAACCAGGAACAGTTCTCATTGTTCCAGCATGAACAAAAGTAGTGATGAACACCTTTGTTTCCAAAAAAATAATGTCTAGCTTTTCCCCCCCCCCCTCTGATGCAGGATCTGGGATGACGGTGTCATAGACCCCGTGGACACAAGAAAAGTGCTTGGACTCTCGTTAAGCGCTTCGCTGAACGCCGTGATTCCATCCACCCACTTCGGAGTGTTTAGAATGTGAAACGACAGTGCCGTCTATTCGTCTTTTGTACGTGCCATGACAACACAGCCGTAATGTGTACATAGTTCTCGTGGGCTGCGTGAGAATAAATGTAAGAAACAATTCACTTTGTGCTACTGCCTTCAGATAGAAAAGAACTTTATACAGGAAATGTTGCTAGAGCCAACGTTTCAATAAGTGCACCTCTTCAAGGTAGCGACCGCTTTGTATGCTTGTACCTTGCTCACTCTCTCAAATCCACAAAAGTGGACTTGAAGGGGCAGTTACTTGAGAAAGATTAAGCGTGAGACGGATACGAATGACCAGATCCAGAGCACATGTGGCCATAGTGCCTGCCCTGTGTGTCTCGACTTTTTGAGTGTCTGGTTTGCGGTTAAAGAGATAGTGAACAGAATTTTCGCCAAGACGTACAGCCAGATTGAAAAATTGGGTGTTGAAATCGATAGACACTATTGCAATTTCACGCAGAAACCAGAGGAAAGCAATGAATTTAATGCGTTTTTCACAGACCTCCGCGTCGAGCGAACACGCCGTGAACTAAGAAAGGCGCGACATTTGACAACGTTTCGCGTACCTGGAACGCGTACAGCAACAATGTCAGCCATCGCCTGTGTCTCTCTACCCGCTCAGCTCCCACTACGGTTTCCAGAACCACAATAAACCGCACTGGCAGTGTGCAATGATCCTGGCTGGGGTGAAGCCTCTGAATGGTGGGGCATGCATCATAGCCTTTTTCGACAGGGGAGAGAGGTTAAGAAAAGGCATAGAACGGGAAAAGAAGGACAGAAAGAGGCGCACCCTGCATGCGCCACGATGAATGTGACGACTCACGCTGTTGTGAGCCCTGACAATCCATCAAAAAAACAACCAACTGTTCAAAAATATGTTGAAATGCACTGTGTTTATTAAAACAGTTGCATCTTCCAGACGAAATTTCGATGTTCTTACCAGTTTTTCCAAGTTTTGTTCAGGATCCCTTCAAGCGCAAAACAGACACTTGTGAAGGCATTATACATAGTACCAGCAAACAGAGTACCTCTCTTTGGTATCGTGGCTTTTTGAGTGCTTCTTTTGGAACAACATTAATAAGATCTAACAGACAATTATGCCAAGAAAAGTATAGGGGACGTTATTAGAAGTAACTGTAATGTAAATGTGAATAATGAAAAATGGACGAAAAGGTAACTCGCTGTGGGCAGAGACTGAACCTGCGACTTTCAAATTCTATTGAGATAGTTTGGCACAGCTAAAAGCAGGCGATTTCTACCTTCATGCAGACAAGTCCGTTTGTCGAACCGTTGGCTCCAGTGACATTTCCCTGTTCAAGAATTTCCTCTCCAAGCCTACTTCTTTCACTGAACTTCTGTCTTTTTTGGATTCCTTCAGTGATGTCTCTTACGTTGCATATCAGGCAATTAAGGCATAAGCTTTCACGTGCCTTTTGAATCTAAGAGAATATATTTTTAGGCTAGCTGGTCTGTTACGTTCACTGAAGCCATAGCACTGATAAAACAGGCACCACAGAATGATAAATGACCTGTGCGCTTCCTGTGGTCTTCATCTCATCAGCACTATGGCTTCATTGAACCTGCCTCTATACTCTGGAAAAAGAACAAATTGGGCGCCCGTGTCTGTCAGTTCCTGTTTTCATTTTGTCCCCGTCCTTTTAGCAGCACACCTCTCTTCCCCAAGTAATGGACTGACTAGCTCAGCACCATGCCCTGCTAGACTAGTTGAGCTTGTAGGTGAAATTCACTTTCAAGGACTAGTAACAGTGCTTGGTTATGATGAGCTTTTAAAACGCGGCATGTGCACATGCATCAAAGGCCAAAGATCAGGTTGTTGTATGTCAAAATAGTATAATTGTGATGACAAAGTGAAAGATGGGAAAGGCACAACTAAGACTTCATATCAGTCGAATGGAAGATTTTACTGCAAAGAAATAAAATGAATTCAGAGTGTAAGAAAAAAAAGGAATAATTAACCATGCATGGTAGCATAAGCTTTGTTGCTTAAATGAAATACTAACGTAGAACACGTTCCTGTGTCTAGGATATGGTGCCTTTGATTTAATCAATTGATGGGCTTCTAGTAGCCCTTGGGAATTATTTCTAGGCCTTGTTTCGATACAGCTTGTTGCTGCATACAAATTATTGCAATGTGACTGGTAATTCTCAATCACAATAGTGATAAAAACATTAAGGAAGTTATCACTGCAATCACAGAATGCATTGAATTGTGGATCTTACGTACTCGGCAGTCTTTATTTGTTCGAGAAGAGCATTACTACAGATAACCGTGGGCTAAATGAGCTTTTATTGCAGGAACAAACACATTTCACAAGGTCCACGCATGTTGAGCATGGAGGAAAAAGATAAGTTTGTACACAAATAAACACTGGACATCATCTTGTCTACTTTGGAGCAGGCTCTTCGAAGTTGTCTAGAAATTTCTCCTGCTTCACGGCGAGCACAGAGTACGCAACTGCATGATATGTCAAGGTGCGTCACACACAGCAAGAGATGAATTTCACAAAAGAAAAAAATAAGTTAAACATGCATATGAAGGTCTATCTGTTGTGCTAGTTGGCCATGCGTAGCTGTTCAGGGGATGATTGCTCATAAATACAAACGAACATATGTTGCACAGAGGTAAGACCACTAGTCCCCCTTCAACACTTCACCATTCTCAGCTTCTTGCAACAATCTCCAGTTTACCTTATCGTGTGTGTATGGATTCCATTTTATCCTCCCTGCAAATTTTGTCTCTATCGAACTCTCTCTCTACCTCGACTGTATTTCCCATTTCTCAGTAACCATTCTGTTGGCCTGACTGCCTGCCAGTTATATATATATATATATATATATATATATATATATATATATATATATATATATATATATATGCAGTGAACTCCCTGTAAGACGAATTCTTGCTTAAGACGAACACAGGAATGTTTGTTTGGTTTCTCATAGACGTAATGCAAAGAAGATATGCCTAAGACGAACTGCTTGATTGATTGATTTGTGGGGTTTAACGTCCCAAAACCACCATTTGATTATGAGAGACGCCGTAGTGGAGGGCTCCGGAAATTTCGACCACCTGGGGTTCTTTAACGTGCACCCAAATCTGAGTACACGGGCCTACAACATTTCCGCCTCCATCGGAAATGCAGCCGCCGCAGCCGGGAATCGAACCCGCGACCTGCGGGTCAGCAGCCGAGTACCTTAGCCACTAGACCACCGCGGCGGGGCTGAGACGAACTGCTTAACAGGCCTTTTCTGTTAAAAGGGGTTTCAGCGCAAGCACGAAAACGCTAAAAGAAAAGCGTATGGAAGGCAAGGAACGAATGGCAAAGCCCTGTTTGCCAACAACACAAGCCCTGTTTGCCTTACGTTCCTCAACTTCAATACACTTTTTTTTCAGCACTTTCGTACTTGCGCTGCAACCCATATTAACATGAAATTCAACCAACTAGCCCAAATAGCCGTTCTTCTTCTGTTAAGACCAACTCTCACAGCGACCAACAACAATGGGAATTCTGCTAATGAACATTATAGTGTTGGTGGGGGCATTCAGGCGACCAAGAGCAAGCAAAATTAAAAACTTCCTGGCACAAAGACTCAAAGCATATCGAAAGCAAATTGGGACGTGGATGGAAAAAGCGAGATAAGTGGAAAAGAAAGGTCAGCACATAAAGCTGGTACCTCCCTTGCCCCTAGCTGTAAGGTGGAGAAAGGGCCGGCTTTATCAGTAAAGAAAGCAACAAAAAGCATTAATCCTTTTGTATTCTCCTCACGTTCTTCAGTTTCCCAACAGGAGTACAGTGGAGAACAGAAGAACACAAGAGCTTGGTTAGAGGGGAAAATGCAAGGAAATGACGGCAAAAAAAAAAAGCCAAATAAAAGTGTAAATGGGAACAAAGAACACATTATAAACATGAAACAGAAACCACATATGTGGCATTATTACTCCCATTAGAAGAGTCAGATGCATTGTTGTTGCCGTCACACAATGGTGCCTGAACACATGTTGTGGTCAGTTTGCGTTGTTTTGCATAGGGCCTGTGCGCATCATATCTGTTCCCACTTGAATGCAGCAACTTGTTATGTGCTATTTTCATTATGAAAGTGCTTGACCCAAAGGAAGGTCATTTTGCACACTATAAATATATCTGCATCATGTCTTCTTTGTGTGCTTGAAACTTGTGATCGATAGTAGCATAAACAAAAACGTTCAGCTGCATATGCGTCAGCAAAGGTTACTGCGGGCTGAAATTAAGAAAATATCTGAACCTCGGAGAAAAGCTTGCAGACTTTCATTGGCAACATGGTGCATATTGGCTTTGCAAGGTAGTGGTATGCAATGGAGGCATATCTAAAAATGATAGCAAAGCCAGTAAAACAGCCTCTTAGAAGGCAAACAGCCAGAAGAATTTCCATTCTTTGAAGAAAAATGTTGCTTGTCTTTTTCTTTTGATCTTTTTATAGGGTCACACTACAGTTTTGTTGTTAAAATGTGGTAGCAATTTATTTATGAGCATATTTATTATGAACTCATAAAATCAAGTACTAATTAGATTAGTCTAAGTACTCTACTTGAAAGCATAGTCTTTAGCACGCTGAGCCAAACAAATGATTTTTCTTGTTCTTTTCCCTACCATTTAGGTATACTTCATTCAGCGTTCTCAAGCACATATCTGGGCGTACTTGGCAAGTTAGAATTTGATTTTGGGGGGCACTTCTGATAAGACGAACAAATGATCGTGGTCAATTAAAGGTATATATATATATATATATATATATATATATATATATATATATATATATATATATATGAGATATAACAGACAGTAATGCCAAGGAATGTACAGGGGAAGTTATTAAAACCAATGGAATGTAAATAAGAAGAAAGAAAAGTGGATGAAAAAATTACCAACTCATCCACTTTTCTTTCTTCTTATTTACATTCCATTGGTTTTAATAACTTCCCCTGTACATTCCTTGGCATTACTGTCTGTTATATCTCATTAATATTGTGTTAAAACACGGAAAAGGAAACAAAACAATAAAATATTTATTTAATCCTAACAGTTTCGGCTGGTGGACCAGCCTTCTTCGGAGGATGTAAGTGACTCTGATCATCTATTTCATCTATCTATCTATATATATATATATATATAATTAAGAATGAAGGAGCACACTTACGAAAATTTGATAATTGTTTACTCTACGTTTCGGCCGTGGCACGGCCTTCGTCAGGATTAACGGTTAATCCTGACGAAGGCCGTGCCACGCCGAAACGTAGAGTAAACAATTATCAAATTTTCGTAAGTGTGCTCCTTCATTCTTAATGATATTTGCACCGGACCCACAGAATTTCTTTTTGAATCACACACACACACACACACACACACACACACACACACACACACACACACACACACACACACACACACATATATATATATATATATATATATATATATATATATATATATATATATATATATATATATATATATATATATATATATATATATATATATATATATATAGACGTTTCGACGACGTTGGATTTTGTGCTTCTTTTACTTCGCCGTGCACAAGGCAGGACAGGAAGAAATAGATTTGAATACCCGGCATTCGTCGCGATGCCAAATTAGAGAACTACCTGCCAGCAGAACTGCGCAGTATAGTTGGCTGATGCAATTGGAAGAAAGGCGACGGCGTTTGTCTAAACTATAAGCAAAGCGCGCATTGAGGAAGCACGCGATTCAAGGATACATATGCCACACACTCCTCCGGCAAGGAGAAACCCCGTCATCAGGTTTCGGTGGCGGATCCGCTTCAACCTACGCACCCGCTCCATGTTCTCCCTTTCTATAATCTTCATGTAGTTTAACTGCGCCGATCCACTCAGCTCCTTCTGAACGTCATCTTGGGCATTACGTTGTCCCCGACATTGTGCCTGAAAGAAACAACGCGAAGGTGAAACTGGTGAAAAGCTCAAGCGCAACTCGCTAGCAGACGTTCCGAGTGCATGCCGCTCCTCGGTTCGTCCAAAGAACAGTTTCGCAAGATCGCAATAGCCAGAAAAAGCTCGAGGTGTCAAAGCGCAGTCGCTTACCTCTACTTTCACCCGAATTAGTCGCAAGTTCAGCAGCGAAATGCAAAACATACAAGCAACGAAGGAATTACGCGCACATAGCACGCACATGGGAAGGGGACACAACGGCACAAGCACAGACACTAGTCGAACGAATCCACAAGAAGCCAAAAACTTTTTTCATACTATTTTTATCAAAGCAAATTCAACTAAAATATTATGTATAAAATAATATTTAAAACAAAATTTAAAGTTTACTGCAGTAATAGTTTTAGTCGTTTGACCAATGTGATTGACTACTAATTTGGTGGCTACGAATAAACTGAATGAATCAACTTGTATAGCGCAACGGCAGCCATATTATTTGTTGTGGTTTCCCTTCATACCATGATTTTACACACGGATGTTGGATATATTCTCCGAATTGGCTCCGATTAGGAAGCGTACGTCATAGCGAGAAGCTTGATAATGAATAAAAATGGGTAAATATTCTTTCGCACATTTTCACGGCTCCCCGAACGGATGCACATTTGACAATGTTTATGCTTTGTGAAGCTAGCCCTAAGAAAGTGACCTTCAAATGTGACTCTTTTTGGCGATCATTTGAGCTTACGTTTAAGAAAGACGCTCAAAAAAATCAAAATCCTCGAGTTCTTAGGCTGTAGAAAATTTATGTTCCTAGCGTTAGCGTGCGCTCGTACTCGTACGGTAAGATTAAACACTTTTTTGCGTAAGCCTAATTCTGCTCTCGCTAAGGGACGCGAATGTGCAATGTTTAGGCCTAGTGCTCTTCGGTCGACTGGTGTTCGGCAAAAATGTCCTAGCTTTGCAACGTTTTTGTCCTGACGCGCCTACATTGCTCCGTTTTGTTGCGAAAGCGTGTGTGCTACGTCTTCGTTTTCGGGCAAGCGATTGTTCAGCGCGAAAACCATTGCAAAATATCCGCTTTCTGTCCGCAGTCCACTCTCGCTTCATCCATTCTATGTAAACAGTAGGTATCAATTATGTGTAATCGCGAGTGATTAATGTGAAATTCTGCGCCGTTCGCTCGGCTTATGTAGCCTTCGTGGTGCGTGGCGGCTGTGTCTGACGCGATTCAGCAATTGTTGCCCCGTTTTTTTTTGTCCGCAGTACGAAATTATACAAACAGGGACAGTTGAATGGATACACGTACTGCATTCGGCAAATCTTCGAGGAAAACGCTCTTGGTTTCTCCCACGGTAGCGGTAACGCCACGAAGCTCAACAACAAGTGTCACGGCTTCGCCGCAGAAGAGCAGTGAGTATACGAAACCCTGTTTTCGGTTATTTTGTCGTGCGGTTTTTTTTGTCGACGCGCGCGTGTGTGTGTGTGCAGTGCTCTCGTTTGACAGGTGTCGGGAAGTCGCGCGATTGCGAGCGCTGGTGGACGCACGGACATTACTGTGCGCGTGTAATGCCGATTTATTACTGCGTGGCTGACATATGCATTGCCGTGAGGCATTTTTTCCCCCTGTGGGGGCGAGGAGGTGGTGCAATTTCCGCGAGCGTAGTAGATAGGCTTCATGACGTACGGAAGCACCGCCTGCGACCAGAAGGTCGCATCCCATTAGCGTGTGGTGTTTGGGCGCTCGCAGTTAGCTGGTGTGAAACCCTGTCGTGAGCAGTGTGTTACACGCGCATGTCTTGTGGGCCTTTGTTAATCCTGCTCTGCTGTGCCTCATTCGATCATTATGAGCTTGGAGGCTGTGTTCCTAGTTAATTTTTTTTTCTTGCCTTCGTTTTTGTGCGATTTCATGCAGTGTCGTGTGTTGATTGGGATAGTTATGAAAGTGGCGTTTGTATGCTGAAATTTGCGGATCTCCATTATTCTTGCCCGTTAAGCCACAATTCTTCAGGATGTTCACATGTATGTACTACATATAGCCTGATTATAATTTCATCAGTGTCATATCTGACGTTTTGTTGCTTCTATTATTCACCTAATTTTTGCAGGGTTCGCTCGAACAAGGATGAGCACCTGTGGTGCAGAAATGTTTATATAATTGTCTTCACGAGTTATTATCGTATCACTTTGAAAGTGGTGTGTTTATTTTAACAAATAGCTGGCTTTCTTGTTAGCCGTAAGCATTTTCATTTTCTTTGCTTGGTGTGGTGATGCTTGAAATTTATTTGGTGCTTGTACTGCCCGCCTTGATAAGGTTTAAGGTCTGAGATAAGGTTGTTGACCCGGAAGACCTGCCTCAGTCTGACAGCCCTCATGTAATCTCGGTATTTTCCTGCAGCAGATAACCTTGTTTTGCACTTTTTTGATTAGGAAATAGGCTGCATCTGCACAGCAACAAGCTTCACTTTTGTAAGGGTTGCAAGTTTCGGTTTTTGTTCTGACCTCCCCCCCCCCCCTCTTTCGTTCGTGGTTGATATGCTGTACATTTTAGTTTGCATTATTAACGGGCTTTTTTTTTTACATGTGTCAGGGGTTCTTTGAAGCTTTATTTAAACATGATTCAAATATTTATTCCTTTCAAAGCACAAATAATAATAGATAAAGCTACATAACATTGATGTATAGCATGTTGAAATCACTCTTCAAATTATCATTTAAAGTGGTTTAGGGACGGCATTACAAACGCTACAGGCAGAGCCTTCATGCCTATATGAGCATCTGCAGATACATTCTGTCGAATGTGTAATGTGTAAAGCATGTGCAAGGCGTAGTGATATCAAAGTGTAAGGGTCTACGAGTTCCATCTAATAAATAATGAATAATACCTCAAAGGCCTCAAAAACTGGACATTTGGTTGAAATTAGGAATTTTTGTGATACAGGGGGTCCTCTAATGCAACCAAGGCTGGTAACAAAATTTTTTTTTATGAGACATAACTGTAGGCGTTTGTGTAAATTGGTACAAATGGCTAAGAAGTAAGAGCTGAGCACATACTAAAAGTTACTCAGCATATAAAATAAGCATCAGTGACATTTGTAGGTTGGCTGCACTGTAATGCTCTTCTCTAATTATGCAGTCTGGTTCATAGACTGGCATGTGCCTTAATACGTGGTCAAAGCAGCCTGTCTCAATTCCGTAAAGTGCTTCTGATTATCAATGCACTGAGCTCTAAGCATACATGTTAGATGCCCTAAACACAGCTTAATTGTTGTAGAAAGCTGCTTGTTCCGAAGAGTGCATGTGTGGAATGGAATCTGAAAGATGCAGGAGACTACTAATTTGGGTGGCTGCTTATAAAAAGAAAAGACAGGATGAAGCATAACGCCCTGTATTGGCCAGTCAGCCTTCTTATCAGTGTACCACCTTGGACTTATGTTCAAAAGTAGGAGAACGAATTTTAGGAGGCTGTTGAGCAAGATGTTTTGCTCATAGCATGTGGAAGGGTAGTCTTATTAGTTGCGCTTGAATATATATTTTTTTCTAGTGCTATCTATTGAATGAAACATTAATTTCCAGTTTTTGTATCCTTGTAAGTCAGCTGGTAAAGCAGCAGTTGCATCTTGTACTGACATTTTTACTGTAGGCTCCCTGAGCGCCGTCATAGTCCTCTCTGGGCTGCTCTTAACATGTGTGGACCCCCCAGAAATGCACTGCCGAGGCTATGACGTCGGCTTTTGTGCTCCCATAGCCACATCCCAGAAACGAGAGGATCCTCCTCTCTATTAAAAAGATCTACATTCTGTGCATGGTAGAAAAGCATATGCGTAGGGTTGGTTAGCAAGAAATGAGGGTAGGTGTTATTTATAGCTATGACCCCACCATTTTGGTTGATAGAGACTTTTTCAGCAATGGGAAATACTGGAGCCAATGTTTTTGAAGTGGAATTGTTAATGTGGTGGCCTTGGTAAAGGCAACTTCATAGAATCGCTTCTCGAAACCCTGGCTACAGCAGAATTCCTCATATATGTGCCCTTGATCACATCGGGGCTTTACCTCCGAGATCTTTTCGTTTTGTTTCCACTTGTATGATGTGCCTTACCGATATGAGGAGTGTTTCCTAAGTTCACCTGGGTCCATCGTCCTCGCCTTAGAAATCTTGCATGGCACAATTCCCACACTAATACAAATATGCCGGCCCTTGCTTTCTTGATGCAGGGTTCACAGCTAAGCCAACTTACAACTTAAAGTCTTTCTACAACCATTAACAGTTGTGTTATGCACATTAAGAAGGAAGCATGGATGAAAATGATCAGCATGATCATCTATGCATCTATTGTCGATGTCAGCGAGATAAGGCTGTTGTGATTATGAGCATAAAGATGACAATTTGAATATGCATTTATGTGATTAAGCAACTTCGCATTAGCTATCCAAATTATAGAAATAAACTTCCAGGTTTTACCTGTATAAAAGGTCCATGTAACAGAAATATACTTGCAGGTTTTACCTGCATAAAAGGTCTATGAAACACTTCAAGCTGAAAGAACTCTCTTCTAAAAAAAACATAAAAATAAAGCAATAACCACAGTTGTCCTACGTCGGTGCGTTTTTCATCCCCCTCACGTCATCATTCGGTGCCTCGGGTATGATTGATTTCCCTCTGTGTTTATCTCTTTGTTAAGACTAAGATGCTAACCTTTATGATACATTCAGTTTGTGCATGCTTTTGTTCGTTCTACGAAAGCTGTGTCTTTGCCCTATGAAGAATCTCTGAGAAAGAAGAGTATTGACGTTAGACTAGCGCACGTGATTATTAACGTGCTTATGACTGCTTAAAAGCAACGTACGAAATTGGCGGGATGTGTCGTGCTCGCATTTTTTTTTTTCAGCTTTTTTTTTCCAACCTCCAGCTGCTTACAAAATTTAAAATTTTACTTTGACAATCATTTTGGGTTATAAAGCAGTGTAGAGGTGGTTTTAAATAGAGTAGCCTCCTAATTACTGTTGAAATGAAAATGTCAGTGACTGATTTGAAGTGACATGCTCTTGCTAAGCATAAGGTTGCAGGTTTGATGCCTGGCTGTGGCAGCCATACCCCAGTGGGAACAAATTGTGGAAATGTTATAAGGCTCATATTTGCAGTTGCATTGTGGGAAGACTTCTGCGGCAGAAATGCTGTTTCATTTACAGCATCTTCCATGTCTTTCTTCGAATGCTGACTTGATTAGATTTTGACAAAAACTTAAAAAAATTCTGGGGTTGTTTGCTATGTTGCATACTCTGTGTCATAATCTCTGCCAAGGCATTGACAGCTGTCAATCCTAAAATATGAAGGCGTCCATCAAGTTGATTAGTTTAAATGCATGCCCACAACCGTACATGATGGCAGTTGAGTAAGAAGGGGAGATTGAATATGAAACATGTCTTTTTTTTTTGTGTAAGGAGCAGTGACATCAACTTGACGCATGTCGCACTTTTTGCATCAACGTGTAGCTATCTATACCCTAGCAACGATTCGGTAGTAATATTGCAATGGAGGGATGAATTAATATATGTAATATCAATAAGTATGACCAGTATCGAACCCAATTCAAAATAGGGGCAAAGCCCGCCAGTTTTTAGCGCTGGCTACTGAACCACAGGTCGCAGGATCAAATCCCAGCTGTGGCGGGTACATTTTTGATGGAGGCGAGAAGGCTGTGGGCCCGTGTGCTCAGATTTGCGTGCACAAATAAAGAACCTCAAGTGGTTGAAATTTCCGGAGCCCTCCACTACGGCCTCTTTCGTAATCACATCGTGGTTTTGGGATGCTAAACCCCACATTTCTATCAATCAACTTTCATTGCTGCCAAGCGGTCACTTCTCGTGGTGCCGCCTTATCTGATCACGTGGCCACACCAAATGGTGACGCGAGTTTCGCTTGACATTTCGTCTGCTCGGTGCACACGTGTATAGCCATGTCTTCGTCACCCCCATTGTAGTCGTCGTTGCCATCAGCGTCCGCTATTGACAATAAAAACACCGAAGAATATGGAATAACAGCAATTTGAAGCATAGCGAATCATTTTCGGTTCGATCCTCTTCTAAGCAGTGGTTCTGAAATCGACGCCGTACCAAGCAGCCATGGGGCAGCTGCAGACGCACTCTTGGATCACGGTGGCTTGTAAGACATGCATGCATGTTACTTGTTCATGATGTAGCTTTAAATAACAGTTGCACTCACGACTCCACGATAAATCATCCAAAGTGGCACAACGAGAATGCAGGATTTAGACGAACGCGCCGCATGAACCAAGCAAAACAAAGCAAGTGTTGCCAGGCGTTGCACCAGACGGTATCACATGTAGGCACCATGATGACAACTCAAAAATTTTCAACATCGCTGCTCGCTCATCATCACTCAGTGCTTCAGG